GCCCCCCAAAGAGGAGCCCAGGGTGCTCCCACGAGGCCCCAAACGAACGGACTGCTTCCAAGAGGCTCCTCGACGCTTTCCCCAAGAGGCCCCCCACGCCGCCTGGATCCAGAGCAAGTCCACGGTAAAGCCATGGTGGAACCATCCCGCAGCCATCTCGGCGCCGTGCTGACAGCTTCTCCCCCGCCCTTTCCCCTCCCGTCTTGCTCCCCCCGATCAAAGGGATCCTCATTTCCCGCGTCCTTCTCTCCCTCTCCCCCTCCCCCTCTCCCTTTCCTTCTCCAGACCCCCGACGTCGTGATGTGTCATGGTGAGGGGGCGGACGAGTAGTCCAGGCTTCTTTCGGTACGGGGCCATCAAGTGCAGAAGTGTCGTCTCTGATCTGTTAGGGTATTGCCAGAACGTGGTAGCGCCAGGCGTTGGCGGACCATGTTGCCAATCGAATGTGTGCCTTGGTCCCTTGAAGCCTAAGTGTTGCGAGTTCCCCGCATGCGTGCGAGCTTCTGTTCCTGGAAGCTTCTGCGCATTTGTTTTGGTACGCCCTTGCCCACGCGCAGAGGGGGGAGGCGGAAGGGGGGAAGGCTTCTTAGAGGCACCTCCTTTTTGATGGGTGTTGGCGCCCTTTCTCAGAAATTGGTGGCGTTATTATAAGAAGTTGTTGTTGCTTTTGTTGCTATTGTTGCTGTCTAGATTAAGCCGCCCTGTGTTTCTAACATGCTGCTGGGATGCTCCTAAGAAGCGGCGCGCCTCTTCCTTCTTAGAAGGGCGACCGGCGCCTTCTGAGAGGCAATCTCTTTTTCTCAGAAGCTCCCCCCCTTCATCTACAGTCAACTCGCCTAGTAAGGACGCGCGCCTTCATCTAGAGTACCCTTGTGTCCTTGCTTCTGCGGCCCGTCCTTTGCCGTTTTCACTGGTCGCCCGCAAAAGAAAAAATCCCAACTTCGGCCTCCAAGGGTCTTGCGTCCTTGCCACCTGTCCTTGATACATGTTTTGAGTTTAGCTGCCCAACTATGCCCGTTCTGAAACGCAACACGTGCCGTGCTCAAAATGTCCGTTCTAACGCGCTGCGCGTTGGCTCAACGTATTGAACCACGTTTTTGGCGAACGTATCTCGTCATACCTTCGTTTCCAGTCTGCGTGTTGAGCTCCGTATCAATACGCTGCGTGGGGCGTTCCTCAAATGGCCTCGCCTTCGAGGATAGAAGGGGTTGCCATCTCTTCCTCGGCGGAAGGCGGAAGGTATGCGGAAGTAAAACGAGGCCGCCTCCGCACGTTTCCGGGTTCAGGGTTTCCGGGAACCGCCATGCGTTGCGGGTTGCGTGCCTGGGCAGTTGACTTCTTGCCGCGTGGACCCTTTTGGAAGGTCTCGAGCCCTTCGCCGAGGCCTGCTACTTTTCCCCAGGCGCGCGGGGGTCTGGACCCTGCCCTCCCCGATCGCGCTCCCGCAGGGAGAGGCCAACCGCCGACCCTTGTCGACCGTGCGTCCGCTCACCCTCGTTCCGATCTGACCTGCGGACATCTGATCTGCGATCCAATCGCCATCGCTGCCGACTCAGCAGAAGCGGCGAAAGCAGTGCCCGTCAGATCGAAGCAGACGCAGAAAGAAGAACTGAAACGCGAGAAAAGAAGCCGCCGACAGGACGCCGCAGGAGAAGACGACGCACAGCACAAAAGGGAAGCAGAAAAAGAAGTCCAAGACAAAGACAACGGCAAACGCAGCAGACGCACAATCAATTCCTGCACAAAGAGGACGAATGCCACCCGCCTGGACAGGACCGCCAACTCACGCTGCCGCACAAAGAATCAGCACGCACATCATACGAACTCCTCACAGGCAGCCTCCGCCTACTAAAGGCTTGCCGCATACTCAAACACCTTATACGCATAAAGAATAACGCAGGTAAGAAGAACAAAGAAACACGCGGGGGGCTACGAAGGAGAGGCAGAAGCCATAAAGAAGAATACATACAGCATAACGACGCCCTAAGCGACTCAGAAGAATAAGAATACTCCGACTCATAATAAGAATAAGGAAGAATTCCTCCTCCTTCCCACATTCACTCCTTATTCCTTCTCCGACTTTGTCCTCCTCATCTCCTCCTCCGCCCTCCTTCTCCTCCTTCTCCTCCTCCTCCTCCTCCTCTTCCTTCTCCTCCTCCTCCTCCTCCTCCTCCTCCGTAGCCATTTTGGCTCAAGTCCGTAGTGGTTGTGCTCAGACTTGGCATTTTGGCGTGGGGGAGGGACGGCCCCCGACTGCTCCGAGCCTCCTCCTCTGCCTGCCCAGGCTGGAGGCTCTTCGCTTCCACGTGCACATACTTTCCGAGGTGTGCAGCTTCGAATGACCAAACAGCATGCCCTTGGGTTCTTTCTCGCTCTGCTGCTGCCGACGATTGGAAGCTGGCCGCGGCAAAGCCTGAATTCCTCAAGTGTTGGACATGCGGATGTGGTAAGAACAGGC